CCTTTTTTGTGCCTTGATTAGTTTTATGTTCCTCAACCGATTTGGCATTTTATAGCGCTCTGCCTTTGACGTCAGATTCGCACTCTCTGCCTCGGCTTTCCGCACTATTCACGTTCGTTTCTTATTATGCGCTGAACGCGCCCAAAAATAATATCAAGAAAAAAAAAACCAACATAACTCATGTTGCTTTTTTCATTGTTTGCCCGAAATCTGGCATGCAAAAATGAATTGACAATGCGCGAGAGCTTTCTTTCTTATTCCTTGTTTGTCATTTCTTATTTCGTTTTTCAGTTTGTTTTACTGCTTATGCTCTGGGCGTGTTTGCAATTATAATGCGTCCATATCTTTACAGCTTTAAATTTGCCAGTAAAGCCATAAAAATATATTTTATGTGTTGAGCTTAAAAGTTTTTAATTTCGGGGCTCTTCTCGCATATCTAGAGGTGTGTTAAATAAATTACTTAATTTCAAAGTGCTGATCAATTCGCTGATTGACATGCCAGTGTCGTAAATCACGATTTGGCCATAATTTATGCACTCCATCCCAAAACAAATACACAAGGGCGCGTTTTTATCTAACTTCGTGGAAGAGTACCCGAAATTAAAAGTGCAGACAGACGGTACATAAAATTGAGGCTTCAAACATTTATTCCGGCAAGTATTTCATTTGAAGATATAAGCGGACATTATGGGCCAACGAAAATATTGTGCATTTAATATGCTTTCAATTCCACGAATATGTATATATAAACAGCAAAACGCAGAAATTTCCGGAAAAAGTTGGCGCCACACACACACTCGTACACTCGTATGTCCGTGCAGAGAGAGAAAAAACCAATATCTAATATTATTATATTTGTGATATAAAAGGTATCAGAGGTAGAAAATATTATAAGATGTATATTAGAGGATGATTTTAAGGTAAGATGCCTAGCTGCATTTAAAATATGATTTTAGTCCAATGAGGGATTTCAAAGGGTTTAAAAAAAGAAACAACATGAAAAGAGATACAAACAGTTCAAAGCACAGTTTCATTTTGGATTCAGAATTTGATTCTTGTTTTCAGAAATTTGTAACATAATAAGAAACGATCTGACAGCCCCATTCCCACGCAACTTAGAGTCCACAGAGAAAAGTTCATTGGTAGCGTCAGTTGTATGAAGATGTCGCCCAGTTCGTAAAGCCGATTCCCTCTAGATTTTCCAAGAATCTTACATCAACGACAAGCATCTTAACATAGAAATTGTTTGTGCAAATTTTTCTTGCAGTGCACTTACAAACATCAACATAAACATGGGTGGTCCTGAATGAGAGTTTTTTTACGTTTCCTATCCCGCTGGGCTCCTAAAGCACTGACAATAAATGCGAGCAGCTCCATTGGCCATTCTAACTGCCAATTTTTGAAGAGTGTTTGTGCCTGTGTGTGTGTGTCTTCCTGTCTATATGTGTGCCATGCTTATGCAAATTGCAGTCATGTTGACTGGCTCGTTTCCTGCTCGATTGCCAGCTCCATTTGGCCCACCTACAACTACTCAGCAGTCCATATAAAATTTATGCAGTATTGTGGCTTATGTGTTTTTAATTAGCACATTATAATTGCTCCGAAACATTGGCCATCGCATGTGTTTTATGGCATCGCATAAAGAATGCAAAAATATATAAATTTGCTTTTATGCTTTTAAATTCGTTATACACAGCACATGGGCGAAGGCCAGCTTTTAAGCCGAAATGCAGTCGAAACTGTTAAAACCCCATGATAATGCTTAAGAATTAAATAATATATTTGTATTTAATTCAAGTGTTAAATTTAATGCGATTTAATAATATTTATCTTCTTAACAATTTTATATGAGCAAAAGAAATGTGAAAAAATTGACTAAATTAATGTACATTATTTGCATAAAGAAACAATTGAATAAAAGCAGAAGCAAATTTTAAGTAATAATGGTCGACTTAAGAAAGAAGTTGACTTATGATTTCCAAAGTGGAAACATACAAGTAAGTGAGAAATTGCATAATTAGTTACGTTTTAATTTCGCATTATTCTGAATGAAAAAGTAACAAATTGTACATTTGCTCGCTGATAGTTAATAATGTATGGCGACTTAAGCGCACTTGTTGACATCTCATGATTTACAATCTGAATGGGTTTATCTGGCGTTGTCGGCGAGTGTGTGGGCTTCGCTTCGTAGCTCAAGCGTGGCATTGAGATTTTCATGCAATTTCCTATGCAATTTATTTGACTTTATGCAAGCAGCGACGGGACCCTTGAAAGGGTGCTCAAACAAGCTCGAGGATATGGAAAGTCAAACGAAGTGCATGATCTACAAAAACACCATCAGCAACAAAAACAAAATAAAAAACACAAAACAGCGCGCCCTTAAGTTCCTGCAAATGCTGTTAAAAATGCAACGACTAGCAAAAATGTAAATAAAGGAAAAAGAAAACGTAAAGAAAACATCAACTGCTGAAACAAAAATTGAAAAATGTTCTTTTCATATTTTAATACTCTATGGCCAAAAGGCAGAGGGCATGTTTGATTGTTAAGAGCGCTTAAAACATCGTGAAGGATATGAACTACCCATAGAAATAAATAACGAGACATGGACAGAAACATTCTTCCATTCAATCAAGATGATGCAACTGAAAGCACTGTTGTTAAGGTGGACACTAAGACTGGGTTCAAGAATATATGGCTCGCAAGTGGGTGAGCATTTGTGGAGTTTCTACAACTAATAAACAGTTTGCTCAATACCGTTGTGTATTGCCAATAGTTATTTAATTTGAATATATTTCTTGTATTTGTCATTCTCTGATACGATTTATGTCTGCTGACTTGGACATTGAAATGAAAAAAACGATCTCGCATATAGTACAATGCTACTCGAAATTATGAGTAGTACGAAAATGTTACGAAAATGTTTAGTTTATTAAAATGTTTTAATCATTTCGAAAGTAGAATAATAAAAACTTGCATTAAATCTCTTGGTTCCAACCTCCTTCGAAGGATTTTAACTAAACAACCGATAATTTGTATGTGGAATGGTTTACCTTTAGTAAAGTTATACTAATGTAAGCCAAATTAAAATGAACTATTTAAAAGATAACTCAACAGATGATGGAAGTTGATTTGGCTTCGTATGCTGCATAAGGTATTTAATAGTCGAGATGGCCCAGCTATAAAAGAAATTAGTTTCATTTGTGACGCGTACGCGAGGGGGGGGGGGGGGATAAAGCCCCTTTGCTTCTTACTCGCAGTTTTTATTTATTTATCTTAGTTTTATTTGCTTAATGCAGCTGTTTTTTTGCTTTTGTCGCCACTGCTTTGTGCATTTCCACTTGTTATGTCTGCCAGATATAGTCAAGTATCCCCCCACCCCCCAGCCACGCCAACGAGCTGAAAGCAGCCCCATCTTTCATTTCGCTTAGCATTTGTTTAGCTGCTCGCTAATCCAGTGCGAAAATGCGTGCAAGTTGCCTTGCCATATATTTTCACATTATTCAAATTGTTGCTGTTATTCTTGTTATTGTTGTTGTTGTTGGCCGTGTTATTTTCTGACAGCAGTTTTAGCTTCGAGCTGCAAAATGAAACAACTTGAAGTGCAGCCATTCGGATGGCGATGATGATGAGATGATGACGATGCGCTTAATTTGAATTTGTTGCTCAAGTGACAGCGAAAAATGACTAACATATTCATTGTTGTAAGCAACAAAATCTTGACAAAACTGCCAACTGAACTTTAAGAAAGAGAGTTCAAAGGTAAACAGTTGATTAGTGGCATGATATTTCGTCTTTCTTATCGTATTATCGCTTCGTTCGCTCTCATTTATGTTGATTTTAGATAACGTTGACATCAAGCAATGACAAACTTAATGGCCCAGTCTGACACTAAAATGGAATTGGCAGCTAAGCCTTTACCAAGCCATCATCAGATGTAGATAGTTCTAAGTTAAATGAACAGCTTAAAATACTTTAGAGTTCGTTTGGACTGTAGAGTAGCTTATTATGTAGATTTAATGGAGATTGAGCACAAGATTCGAGTCGGCTGCACGAATGTTGCGAACTTTGAACAATGATTGCCAAAAACTAAATGCAAAACATTTGAATATGCGATAAACCTGTTCCGTAAAAATTCCGTTCCAGATAAAATTCTACCTGACTAGCAAATATTATGCTCTTTATAATTTTTTGCACTCATAAAATAAAACAAATTTCAATAAGTGAAACTCAAAATGATTTTGCAATAGAAAGAAGTAAGAGATAACTAAATTATGAATCCTACAAAATGGTGCTTGTCTAGTACTTATTGCATTTTGTTTGATAATTTTATTTCATTTCACAAAATTATTTTCAATGCAACCAATATCTACAAACTTATTTAAAAAGCTCTTCTATTACTTTAATTAAAAGTTGCATGACAACTATGGTTCAATGGGAACTTTTACCCTACATAATTTAAATAAAGACGTTTGGTGATCCATTACGCAATACATTGAAAAGAGTATTCTAAAATTTGTAAATATTTTGGAAGCAGGGGTAAATAATTATTGGGATTATTGAAGAAACATAGTAATATAATACTAAATAGCGGTCCTTACGGATAAATGGATTTATAAAATGTCCTTCCTAAAGAGAAATAATGGAGAAATAAAATATCTTTCAAATAAATAATAAAGAATCAAGCATATAACTTTCTGATGAACTTGCAATCACTGTGTAAGCAGTTTAAGTTAAAATATTGCATCTATTGCCTCACATCGTCCTGTTAATTTGTTATATCAGCTAATGGAAACGAGACGTAGTATGTTAAGTGTCACATCAGCTTGTGAAATGGTCAAAATGTTTCAATTAGCGCGGCAGTTGAAACAAAAATGTGCCGCATTTTCACATGGCCTTGTCACTTTGTCAACTTTCTCACACTGCAGCCATATCATATTTGCATAAAAGCATTTAAGTACATTAAGATAATTAATCTCGTTTTCTCTTCGACTTATTTTTAGGTACGAGTTCAAATTCACGACCTTTAACAACTTTAGTTATTTTCCAATGCATTTGGGCTTGACAGGTAAGCCGCACAAACAAATTTCCCACATTTTTGCACAACACCATATAGTTGGAAACTTTTGCTTCCCTCAGCAAAAGCAAAGCCCAAGCTGGCAGACAAATGGCATACATTTTCATTCACTCACACATTCATAAAAAGAGAGAGGAAGAGAGGGAGAAAATGAAAAGGCAATGCAAAAATAAAAGTAGTAAAAATTGCCTGAATTTTTTCGGTTAAAAATTCCAACAGCTATGTGCGAGAACAGATCTGAAGAATTTGTTGATTTTTAAGCTGATATTTGCGTTCGACTGCACAGCACGGCGTATGTGTAACGCAGACATCGTGCATACGCCGCGTGCAACACGCGTAATTAGCCAGAATCGTCAGAAACAAAATGCCAGCCAATAAAATCATATAAAGTTGTAAAAAATTGGCAAGCAAGTGGCTAGCGCGTGCGCGCATAATAAATAAACTGTTAGAGCTTCGCACACAAATTAATAACATTGGGAAAAAAAAGAAATAAATTGTGCGAAAACCCAACTATGAATATGTGTTGTAATGTTCCACACTTGACCATAATCATTCAATCAACGGGGGCCCCATTAATACTACGGACTGTTAATGAAGTCGTTGTTGCTTGTATTGCTGCTTCTGCTGCTGCTGTTGAGTTTGTGTTGTTTGTGTTGTTGTTGCTGCTGCTGTTGTCATGGCAGATTGTCATGCGGCGTCGACCCACGCATATTAATAAACTAACTACGCATACGTCCATAAGTACAGTGGAAATTGTTTGAGAATGGCGCATTAGAGAAAACCAATTTGCTGCTTTTCGATATGGCTTACAAATATGTAATCGATTGGTTGCAGGTAATGAACATATTTTATTCCTACATGTACATGTATGAGTATTACATTCCCGATTACGAAAGCTGAATAAGCAGCGATGTAGTCTGTTCAAAAGTTCAGTTTGCTGCTTTTTTCTTCAAGGTTTTACTCTTAAGCTACAAGCTAAAAGTGCCATGGCTACTAGGCCCTCCACCAATACAGTATAGTATAATAAAATATTAAGAAGATTTTACCGAGAGACTTAATTGTGACCAAATGGGTTTTACACTCCTTAAATGAATTAAGAACTTTGCTAGAATTCTCACATTTCTTTTCATTTTTCACACAAAAGTTTTTTGTTTTTTTATTGCGTCAGATCGATTTGAAGTACAACTTCCACATAACCAAACCTTTAATGTTTATGTACACCATTATTTTTAATCATGGATGAATTACAAACTTCATAAAAGATGCATATTTTTGTAATGGTGGATTTTGTAACTCCTTAACACTTTTTTTGTGGAAATTTCACTTTAGTTTAAAGTAAATCTTAGCATGTCTAAAAACTATTTTAAATTTAAAAAAACACATTATTTCGCCAATATTCCAACAAAATTCCTCAACTTAAGAAATACATTATTACTTAAAATAATATATAAGTCGACCCACAACCGAATTGAGCAACAAATTTTAACTGAAATCCCCCGGCAAACCGAAGCAAAACAATCCAAAGTTTTCAAATTCATATGCTTATAACACTTATATAAGAACAAGTTTCATTTAAGTAGCTTTCACTCTAAATATTTGTATACTTATTCAAGTATGTATATAGCAAACTATACATATGTATGTATATACTATATATATGAGCAGATACATACGTTCTGTGGCACGCACTTGCGTTGCACGCGTTCTGCTCAAAGCCAATTAGGCGCATCGATTTCGTTGTCTATGCACATATAGTACATACACATACTAGCACATACATGTGTACATATGTAGATATATATGTATATATGTGTCCGATGTTTGAGCACAGACACAAACCACATGCTGTGTCCGCCCGATGGCCCAAGTGAGTCGCACACTTTGGGGGCATTGCAATTTCATGAAGATGATCGCTCGCGCTTTGTTAATGGCGCATATATATTGCCAATATACGCAGACGTACATATGGATATATCGTATATTTATATAGTATAAGTGTGTGCTCATGTGTGCGTGCATATCTAAAATGCTGACCCAGTTTAATAAAAACAAACACCAGTGGCCGGCTAGACTGTTTGTCGGTCAGCTTTTCGTACACTTTGCACGATGACCAATTTGCGTAGGTGCTGCTGTTATTAATGTTGTTGTTGTTGGTACATACTTTAGTTTCAGTTGTTGTTGTTATTGTTGTGGTAACCATAGTAGTACTACCTACTCGAGCAATAGTCAACATTGCTGCACTTGTGTGCTGGCCAAACAAATCCACTTGACCGCTTGCTCTGCAACAATACAAGTAGACGACGCACTCAACTTGCAGGCAACCAGCAGGCATACGCATACACATACACATACGCACAAAATGTGCGAACAAACCCACAAACCAACAAAAACAATACAAACATGCAAACTGACAGTCTGACAAGCTGACGAATTGACAATCACACCACCATGCAGGCGACCACAATAAAAATATGTTTGAATGAGCTGCGGCTAAAAAACAAAACACAAATTGTTGAAATGCCAACCCGGCTTAGGTGCCAAAGCAAGTGCCAGAGTCTCAAGTGGGCCAGATAACCCTCAGATGGGCAATGGGGAGTACGAGTATGCAAGGAATGAAGGAATGGAAGCCGCAAAAGCAAAAAAGGATACGCTTGTTAGCAACGGAAGCTTTGCTGAGTGGAAAGATGGTCGGCAGTCACAATTGTTGTAGTCGCCATTGTGATTGTTGTTATTGTTGCTGTTGCTGTTGTTGCTGTTGTTGCTGTCCAAGAGCCGCAGCAAGTGGCGCACGACCAGTCATTGTAATTAAACGTTTAATGCCCCTGTTGTTAGGCTTGTTTTTGTAGCTGTTGCTGTTAGCACGCTTGTTGTCATTGTTATCATTGTAGTTATGGCACAGTGGGTAAGAAGTGCGCTCTTTCTCAAACAAAAGCTAAAGATCTAGTTTTTGAGATTCACTAGAAATATAATAAGCCCGTGCGATTAGAAATGCGTTAGCAAAGGACTACTGTATTAAAAAAATTGTGCATGTAAAAAATGTTGTCAAGTGTCAAAGCGAATGTATATCTTTTTAATCTACTTATTTGATTAAGAAAAATACTAAATTTTAAATATATATTAAATATTAAATATATATTTTCCAATCATCAGTATTTATAAGAAATCTATCAGTTTTAGGTTCAAAGCAAATGGGCACAAAATAGTTTTTTCACCATCAATTGGTCAAAACCAAAATTTTTAATTAAGAATTACCAGAACTACTTTTGCATACATACTTAATCATATTCTTCATTCTCTTGCTACTTTTGTGTTATAATAGATTGGGAAGATAAGGCTAAGGCACTTAAGCCAGGAATGCGCATTGTGATGCCATTTAGGCCCCTTGGGATTTACTAGTCGGCATTTGAACATCTAGCTAGCTAAGTTTACAATCTCCAGTTTTGTTGTATCAGTGGAATATTCGAAAAAGGGTTGAACAATTCTTTTCAATTTCAGAAATGCTGCAGTTCTTTTGGTGTTTAGATGCGACCAGAGACAAGTGCCATGCCGATTCCTTCCTTGTAAGGATGTGCTGAAGAAGACACTGCTTCCTGGCTTGTCTGCGATGTAGTTTCAGATAGTCACTTAGTTAAATGAATCATCGAAAATTTGGTCATAACACCACAGCTTGACATTTTTATATGAAATCTGTGTACCAGAATTTTTCAAACTGCAAGCAGCTTTTCTTAATTCGTGCTTTAAGCGAAAATGGTGACCGAGTCATATACTCAGAAACGAGCTCACATTGAGCTGTGCCGTATTATTTCTGGAATTAATTTTAGTTTGAAGACTTCATAAAGCTAAAAAGAAATTAATTGAATGTGAAATGAAGCAATGGAATGATAGTTTCGCCTCTATTTTGGCCCCAAGGTGTCTATGTGTATACATTGCTGTTATTCTTTTTCCTGCTGTTTTGCTTTGCTTTATTAATTGGGTCACGTTGACGCATTTGCAGCGCTTATTCAAATGTTTCGTAAGACTTCTATTTATCTGCCAGGTATAATGAAGATGCCACTGTTGTCGTTATTGCTGCAGTTACGTTAGCTGGTCTCAGCCACTTAATTGACTTGCAGTGCCATTGTGAGCCTTACCTGCATTTTCACAACTCAATTAGTAGCTAGAATAGTATGGGAGAGCCAGCAAGTTTTCGCTCTGCATAATTTGTAGGTCAGAGGCGGAAAGGCTTTTAACAACAAAAGTGCAGGTGAAAAGTAATTAAGAGCATTTGTTTATTGCCAAAGTTTTACTCAAGTTTGCGCAACAAAACTTCCAGGTAAGTTTAACAAATAAGATCCGAGTAGAGAACTTGAAAATTACACACAGATTTGTCGCAATACGGTGCATTAATTGGCAGAAATCAATTATACGTATCAGAAGAAATCATTCAAACCGATTTCATGGCTAATTAGTTCGAAATTATATATTTCCTTATTGGAAATAGTCCCACAATATACTAACTACTTCAAATACTTCACGCTGATTGTTTCGCAAAGAACAAAAGCATTGAAGGAATATTTCTAAGAATTAAACGGACAACGTTTCTGACATCTTGATCTAATTGCTATTAGTTCGAAAATACAGAGATGTATTTTTTTTATAGAACAAGCCCAAGAACTAAATTCTCTTAATAGTTACACGACGGTTGCTTCTAAGTTCAAAGGAAAGGCTATGAAACCATTTTAGATGAAGGAATATTTCCGAGAATATTACTGAGAATATTTCAGATTTCTTCAGTTCTTGGAAGAGAAGTGAATACTGTTAGACAAGTTCAATGGAAGCAGTTATTGCATCCTTGAGCACAGAAATATGAATATGGTGCACGATAAACTTAGTGGTATGCTAATACGTGTATGTTTAATTTTCTTTTCCATTGAAAGTCATTTCACTTTCCTTAACTATTTTGCTATTAATATTAGTAAGAATAATTTTCATCAGTACTTATATTATAAACG